TGTACTTTCTGATGTCATGCAGATTAGAGCTGCAATTCATTTTATTAATCATATCCTGGTTGCAAATGATTCACAAAAAACACACACATGTGTATATACATATATATATGTGTGTGTGTGTGTGTGTGCATGCAGACACAGAGACATGCGTTGATGGCAAAGTGTACCTGCACATACAACACACACACAAACCCATACACACCTCCAGAGACTGATTCAATCACATCTCAAATCCTGTGGGCAGTTTTGGGCCTGTCACGACAAGAAAGACATTGCTGGAGTGTGTCCAGAGAAGAGCAACTGAGCTGGGAATGGGCCTGAAATGGGGGCTCAGTCTGGAGAAAAAGAGGCTCAGAGGGGGCCTTCTCACCCTCTACAACTCCCTGACAGGAGCTCATAGTGAGGTGGAGGTCAGTCTCTTCTCTTGGGTAACAAGGATGGGAGGAAATGGCCCCCAGTTGCACCAGGAGAGGTTCAAAATGGATTTTAGGAAAACTTTTTCATGGAAATGGTTATAAACCATGGAAATAGGCTGCCCAGGGAAGTGGTGGAGTCACCATCCCCAGAAGTATTTACAAAACACTTGGGGAATGGCACCTGAGAACATGGTTTAATGGTGAACGTGGTGGTGCTGGGTTGACTTGCAGGTTTCTTCCAGACTTAACAATTCTGAGAAGACTGTTCACAAGTTTTCCCTGAAAAGCAAACAAACTGTGATTTATATGGGATTGGCTGAGCTAATCCTGTTTACAGTTCCTCTGTTCTGCTGTAGCACCTGGACTCATTCCCTTCATTTCACCAGCCATCTGGCTCCTTTACCTGGTTTGTGGCTCTGCAGCTTACCTGTGCTTGGGAGGAGACTGACTTGTATAAACCATGTGACTACATGTGATGGCTTTTCCGTGATCCTGAGGGAATGGCGCAGCACAAATAATTAATAGTAATTTCTGATCTAATACGAACTCGTTACATGTTAAATGCTCTTCTAATGAGAAGCGAAGCTCACATCCCTGAAGACAGAGCTTATGTTTCAGGTTTAAGGATGCTATCCCAGTAATTCCTCCTGCCACACACAGGAAGGCTGCACAAGTCACTTTCACAGGAGGTCGGAGAGTCAAATAGTGTGACTGGAATTTTAAAAAGGTTGGGTAACTTTTATGACCATTAATAATGTTTGTATTGAATGCCAGCTCAAACTGTAATGAAGTTAATTGAATCTCCTGTCCCAATGTATAAGGCAACCGCCTGAAGGTCCAGAGGCAGACTCCATGTGACAGCAACTCAGAGCCCTGGACAAACAAGGCAATTGAGGCACTGCTTGATAGTAGCAGGTGTTTGTCACTGCTGAAGGCAGAGTTTCAAAGTATATCTAACAAAGCCAATTGTTCTGTACATCAGAACAATTCTAATATGATATGTGCTTTTTCTGAGGTACAGAGAAGCCAACTTCAAGACTATCCACAGGGTTTGACAGAGTACTGTGTTTACTGTTCTTTCCCCGGCTAAGGCACGAAAGGACTGAGCTGAGGTAGATAACACAACTGTAAGACACAAGCATATTGGGAAGGCAGGAGTAATTATTAACAAGTCAGCTACAGCAGACTTACACATGTGAGCCTGCTAAGCCTTCCCAGAACTCTGTGCACTGCATATCTGGAGTCTTGTCACCTGCAGACACAGAACTTCCCAGGGGATTCCCAGGATCTGCAGGATTTCAGCCTGATTCAGTCACTCATTTACAATGCAATCCAAGGAACATGAAGGAACAAGTGAACTGTCTCAGCTCAGGCAACTGGGAAGCTCAAGTGTGTTGAATAGTCTCGGCTGCAATGTTTCAAGCTCCTGCCAAAAGCCTACTCTGAAATCAGCCACTGCAGCACTTTGGGCACATCAGCAGATTCCTGATACAAAATGCACACCAGCCTGCAACAAACTGAACTTTTACCCTTTCCCAAATAGGAAAGGGCCCAGAATTTCTGAAGCAGCAAGGAGGCTTGGTCTATATGTCTCACAATGAAGATGTTCAGTAATACCTAAAAGTTAGTCAGAAACTTGACTAAAACTTAAAATAGCAAAGAAGTCTTCCTAGTTATATGGGTCAACCTGATGAAGGTTTACTACTTTCATTAGCTACAGAATACTGTGACTACATAATCTGTATTATCTTTATAACTATTTAAATCAATTGATACAACCTCTGCTCATTTCTGTTGTTGTTTAATGAGTCTTAGTAAATGGCATCTTTTTCTTATATATACGTTTTATAATAACATATTGTTGTTTCTCGGTATTTTGTCAGAAAACAAAACTTGCAATTTATTACTCTGTTCCCTGACACCATCTAACAACACACTTTCCTTACCAGAGTGTAATACATCTGTTACAGATATGTTACATACATACATGGTAACTGTTATTACTGTGTGTGCACACAGGGAATGTAACCATTTCAACTACGCAGGTGTAACTGTAGTAGCACAACTGATTTTTATAAAGGGGATTTAACATCTTGCCTGTTGAAGACGAAGTTGTGTGGAGAACTCATTGCAACCTTCCAGTGTCTGAAGGGAGCCTACAGGGAAGCTGGAGAGGGACTTTTCATCAGCATTTGTAGTGACAGGACAAGGAGTAATGGGTACAAATTGATAGAGGGGAAGTTTAGGCTGGATATTAGGAGGAAATTCTTTACTGTGAGGGTGGTGAGATATTGGAACAGGTTGCCCAGGAAGGCTGTGGATTCCCCTGCCTTGGCAGTGCTAAAGACCAGGTTGGACAATTCCTTGAGCAAGTGTCCCAGCCCATGGCATGGGGAGCTGGGACAAGATGGTCTTTAAGATCCCTTTTAATCCTTAACATTCCATGATTCTATGAACTTCTCTCGTGCCACAACAGCACCACAAACCTGTGCAAGTTTTCATGAGTGTTTATTACCAGTCTAACAGGTATGGTTTATGTCCTTCTAGACACAAACTCTTCTCAGCCAGAAAAATAAAACGTCCCCTCACAAAGTATCTTGAAAAGAGACCAGTGGATAAAAAAAAAAGCCTACTATCAAAGCAATAGGAATGCTATCCATTTCTAAGAGAAACTACCACTTTCTTTCACTCAAGGCAACTTCAAACCATTAATCTTCTGTACAATTCCACTGACTTTAACTCAGCGGGTTAGAGCTGATCTAATAACACCAAGGTTGTGGGTTTGATCCCTGTATGGACCATTCACTTCATACTTGATCACCCCTGTGGGTCCCTCAGAATTCATGATATTCTGTGATTCTGTGACCTCTGTTGTGCCTGATGGAGGATACTGCATCTGGAGATGTTTGCACAAACCTATCTAAGCTTACACTTCCAGTAATGGAGATTCACAGGTCTAAGAGTATCACAGGATCTGAAGCCCAGAAGATGGGAAAAAGCATCGTGGAACCCACTGCTGTTTCCTCTGGCCGTACATCGCATTGTCCATTGTGACAAGCGCCCGCCTGGCTCCCGTGTCCCCACACCCTGGGTTCCATTGGAACCCGCTGCTGTTGTGTCCCCAGCCCAGCCGCTCCGGACCCTTCACCTCAAGGACAGCAGCTCTCACCTTGCTCCTGGGGAGGAGCTCAGGGAGCAGCTGGCTGGATCCCCGAGCATCCCCTGGAAGCTGTGCCCATCCCATGGGGTGCAGGTGGGTGCCCGGGGCTGCTGCAGGGCAATCCCAGCTCAGTGGGATGCTCTGGTGCCTCCACTCTCCCAGAGTGTCAGAGCTGTGCCCAGTGCCTTTCCTCCTTGTCTTTAGGAAAAATCAATGCTGCTTTCTTTATTAATCTGCATTTATTAGCCAACCATCCTGACAATTCTCTGCCCCTTCCATCAACAGTTTGGGTTCCAAGCCTAATTTCTCTACTTGGTTTATGCCACACAAAAGGTAAATTGTCTGTAGAGGATGACATTTTAGTTACAAAAACTCTGTCTTGCATTAAAAGTGGCTCTTAGGAAAGAACCCTGACTGTTTACTCAAATTAGTTTTGAGATAGTCCTTTTAAACTCTTACCAAAAATGTGTCACTGCATGAAAATGAGCAGATGCACAATTGTATCGAAACTGCAGTTTAACAGCAATTTTTTTTCACATACTAGTGTCTTGGGCCCTTGATGGACCTATTTCATGGACAAAAACTTGCAGTACACAGCCCCAGCAAAACATTATACTTTACCTGATAGCCACACATTTTTCAAATTTTTGCCTCATTATGAGACAATACTGTTAAAAGTTCATTAAGTTTTAAAATTTAGCTTACCGTGCTCAGCTGTCATTAACAAAATTATTATTTCTGTAGTTTATTTCATTTTACAGAACAGCAGAAATCCTGAATGAATCAGAGTAAGGCATTCATGTCTCCAGTCTTCCTGTTCCAAGTGTTGCTGGCCTGTATTTTTTTGACTCTGCACCCTGGCCTGAATACTATTAACATATTATTTGAAAGGCAACAATAAGCACAAAAGTATGAAAGCTTAATAAATACTCTCCTCCCATCCCACTGCCCCAAGAAACATCAGCAAGAATGTAACTGAAAGTTAAGGAAGAGAGAGTGGAGGGGGAAAGACACAAAATACACAGGAAAAAAGAAAAATATTTCCCAGGTGGAACTCCTGGCCTGGGGATGGCTCCACAACAGCATGCCTTTAAGAATTAGCATTGCTACATAAACCAGTATTACCCAGCTTTTTCTGCACTTGGCTGTGTTCAACGAGGGTTTGTACTTCACTGTTTCTTTTGGCAAAGGTTCATATGCTCACAATCTTAAGTAAACATTAAATCCAGCTATGCAGACCTGATCGTGAACTCTTGTATGCAGGAGCTCCAGGCACTCGGCATGAAAACAACCTGAGTGACATCCCCAGCTTCAGTGCAGACCAGGCAACTCCCGACACAAGTCACCGTGCTTGAAAAAGTTACTCCTTCATTTAGGAAGATTTCAGATGCTTTGTACTTGATTTGCCTTTTTTTGCCAGCACAATGAAGGAAATGTCCTGCTTCTGCTTGACTTTTTCTTCCTTGTTGGAACAGATGGTGAAGGTTTACAAATACGTGACTGGTATTTTTTCAGTGACTCATAGCTCAGAGTCACAGGTTTCAGAAGGTGACAAGAAGCTCACCAAGATGGATGTAAGCATACTTGAAGAGCAGTATGACCATATAAAACAGAAGCAAAAACTGCAACACATAATTGTATATAAAACAGGTATGCTTATATTTGTAGAAAAAAATGCATATGTAATCTAAAGATGATTTCTTTAAATCTTTAATAACACCTAGTTTGTTCTTTTTGTGTTCACCTTCAAGAAAGGTAGAAGTAAATTCCTTTTCTGTCATTTTGGGGTTTTATTTGTTTTGCTGAAAGGTGGTTTTACATTTATATCAATAAGCTTCATGTCAGTGAAATATTATTATGTATTTGAAACAAATTAACATATTTGAGGTAAGGTTTTATAGGCTTTATATCAGTAAAATAAAGTTCTAAACATAAATAGTAAACCTTACAGTAACCATGTTCTTCATGTCTACGGTAAGTGTATTTGTGCAATGTTTTCTGTAATATTTCTGCTCTCTTGAATGCTTCCATCAGAACCAGTAATTCTGTGTCACCTTTCCCTTTTTCCCATCTCTATCTGTGTAAAGAAAGACTACAGGAAGCAACGGCAAATTTCAAGTAACAAGCACAAGTTGGGGTTTTGTTAAGAAATAACTTTAATTAAAAGTCATAGTGGGTAACTAAGATACAAGCTTTGAGCAAAAGGTACTGTTTTGTAAGTATTTTCAGTGCATATTGATTAGAAAGTGTATAAATAGAAAAACAAGTAAGAATATGTATAACTCATCTACCTGCCATGTCAAATTTATATTTATATAAATATAGAAAGATTTTATATAAGAAACATACAATTATTTTAAAGTTGTTAGTTAGACTACTGCTGACAATACTACACCGATACATCAGCTTTCCAAGTTAAAGTGATACTGAGAATACTAAGAAAACTTAATGAAGTTGTCTTCTGAATTTAATTTTAATATAAAACCCATGCTTCATTCACCTCTCATATTAGTATTTAGCTCAACAAATGTAGAACTTAGGTTATTTAATTCTTTACATTTTCCTCTACGTTTTTCAACAGTTCTAGAATTTGTCTGTGTCAGAGTTCATGATCAAAACAATCAGAAAAAAAACATGTAATTATGAACTATACAATAGATTTGCTTCTTCAGTATTCTTTCATCCAAATGTTTTGAAATTCTCATGCTAAAAGAATTAAAATCTCTGTGAGGAAGAAAAAATATATATATACAAGCTTATTTTATCAGGTATCAAAAAACAACTAATTTGAAGACAAAACAGCCCATCTAATCAGTTATAGGAAAAATATGTTAGTTGAAGAAAGGGAGCAGAAGCCTTTATTCAGATTAATTGAAATGAAGTTTCAGATATAATGAATGTAATCAGAGCAGATTTTTTGCAAGGCCATTTGAAGATTAAAATATGTAAGAAAGTAGAACTGCGCAGTTTCTGGGGAGTTTAAAATGTAGTAAGGTTAAAAATCCACATATGAGTATTTTCATACATGTGCACATTCCCCAAAACATTCACAAAACCACATACCCTGCTGCACTGAACTTCTATCTTCAAACTATCTGTGTGGAAAGAATTCATGTCACTGTTAGAAGCAGTTGGAATTTGGGTAGTTTTTGTTATGCTGAGTATTCAAGGTCCTAAGAGCTTATCTTACACATTCCTGTGGAAGCTGGGAAAACCTATTACATGGCTCAGCACTTTGCACCTGTTACATGCAACAGTTTTCAGGAATATGTGGAGCAGAAATTAACATTGCCATATCAGGACTGCCCTACATTACCCTGAAATTCCAGGTAGTTCCAAAAGGCAGTCCATGTATGTATCAGTGATTTGCACTGACAACAAATTGTTTCCCTACCTAGAGGGAAAAATTATGGCTGTGCTGGGAAAGGGGTGCCAACAACAGCACCACCACAAACTCCACACATAAACACAAACCTCAAAGGCCAGACACACAAACCCTGATGGAAGGAGAGCACCTTCAGTCCCCCATGGTATTAAAAGTCCCTGCCAAAGGTTGTTGTTCTTACCAGTAATACCCTGTTTTGCTCCTGCCTGGCAGAGCAGCTGTCCTTCCATGGAACCACAGGGATTTTGACAAACTGTAGGTTTGTTGCACCACAGTTGGAACAGTAATGCCAAGTTTTCCAGAGGACTTTTAGCTTTGTATGTCACTTCCTGTCTGCAGGAATCGTGAAATCGTGGACTTTTAGACAGAATTTAAGACCCTCTAACTTCTCTATTTTTTTGACAGAGGGGTTAGTAAAGAAGAAGTCACCTGAAAATAACTCTGTTCTGTTTCTTCCCCAATACACACAGCCACATTCATGCTTCTGCCCACTCCTGATTATTTGAGAACAAAGACCATGACAAGATTTGAAAGGCACCAGTTAGGGAATAATACAGCAATGTATTCATTACTTATTGGCTAAGAAGCTGAAAAACAGTATTTACTTTAGGAATTAAGTGGGAGTATTCAGCACATGCAGTCACAAAAGAATAAATACCGGGGCAGAAATCTCTTCCAAGTATTTCCCAAGCTAACTTGAGATAAGATTAACTTTTGCTACTCCAGAAACCTTAAAAGTATCTATTAATGACGACAGCATATGGCCAGATGGTAAACAACTCTGCAACAAGTCAAAATAATACACAATTTACATGGAGAAAAAAGAAAGACAGAAAAACAGAAAGAAAAGTCTGTATAAAGCTTTCTTGAGAAGGTTGGACAGTGCTGGAGGTGTGTTAATTCAACACCCAGTGGTTCAGGACTATCGCATTTCTATCCAAGGTCATTGCTCAATTTTGTGTGCTGCACCTGTAGCCAAGCAAGGAATTAAATCAACCTTGAACTAAAAACCAGTGCACACTATTCAAATTGGACTAGATTTGTCACTCTGAACTTTCTGATCAGCTCAAGACAGAACATAGTTATTCTGATGACCAGTTCATAAGGTTCTAGATGTTCTGATGTTGCCTATCAATGTCAGTCCAGCCAAGAGCACAGTTAACATCACAAGAACATGCAAAGGTGCTTCACCTCAGTCTCTCAGTTCCATTCTCTCTTGGTTTTTCTCTCACATACAGAGAATAAGCCCTGGTTTTCACAGCTTGGTGCTACACTGTGCTGTTCTGCAGAACACACAGGGCTCTGATTTGCACTCTTTTTGTAGCCAGCCAAGCTCAGCTTTATTTCTTGGATGAAGTCCAGTCATAACTTTGATTCTCACTGTTGCATGGTAGAGAATTGTGTGTTCTTATCTCTCTGAGTGGTGTCACCCTAAGAAATTCTGTTAACACACCTCACTGTACAGACGGATGCACAAACACACCTGTATCTCAAAGCTCTGCACGTGCCTCAGTCTCCTTTCTCCCGGTAACGCAGCACGAGAACTAATGTGGCCTGACATGGTTCTCCCTCCCAGCCATGCTGCAAAACAGCTCTTATCAGATCAACCCTTCATGGCCAAGGAGCAGAAAAAGCTCTGTGATATTATGCTGGGGTTGTTGTTTCAGCAGTGGGAGCCAAAGGCAGCAGTGAAAGCCATTGCTTAGCAAAATCCCTGTTGTACAGGTTCATCTACTACCAGTAAATCAGCTGGGTCTGACATCTCCTAATACTTATTTGTAAAGATGACACGAAAGGCAGCTATAAAGCAGAGGTTGTGTGTTGGGTTTTTGTGCAGGCAGCATCCTACTCACACTAGCTTCATTTCAAATTCAGGATTACAAACCTTTTAAAACAGCTGTTCAGAGACACTCAAAATATAATCAGCACTCTTCTATGTCTACTTTTCTCCCTTTAATGTGCTTCAGAACTTACACTGCAACAGACAGTCACTGTAAGTCAATCCTGTAAATAAAGCCAGCATTCTGCACAACCCCTGCTTTAAACTGTATTTGTACCAACTGAAGTATATTTCATTAGTGCAAATGGATTATCTTTAGTGTAATAGATCAGTTTCTGTTCATTTTCAAGACACAGAAAACCAGTCATGTCCACAATTTGATGACTGCTACATGTAATTAAAGTAGCATTAGCATTTGTGTCCCTAATATCTTAAACATTTTTAAAAGTAACTTTCATAGTGCTTTAGAAATAAAGTTATAGAAGAATAAAAAAAAGGAAAGCAGAATCTCTCCAACTGTTACAGGTATAGAGTAGCTGTACTCCTCCAAGCAGATTCCTCTAAATTATCAGTCAGGCAACACTAGTGTGACAAGCTACTTACACAATTTATACTGACTGGAATAGTAAAATTGCAATAAAATATTAAAATATAAGCCTGTAATGTTCATGATCCCTCATTAAGAAAAGGAAGACATTCACAACTTGTTTCATCTGGAAATAGTCACAATATTATTATTCTGTGAATACAAACTTCAAACAGTATCAAACAGAACATTTTTGTCTTTCAAATTACAGCACTTGCCAATACACTGAGCAAGTCCCTACTCACCTTAAGAAGTTTTGCTTACAAGCAATTAATTACTGAAAGTCAATTCTCAATCTGTGCTGTTCATGAGTCTTAGAGTACCAGTTAGATCAATATTGGCTTGATGAATTTCCATTTTCATTTGACTAAAACTAGGATATCATTTATGCCCTCAGAACTGCAAAAGCAAGCATAAAGTAGCTCTACTCCTTAACCTGGCATCAAAAGAACCTGTACTACTCTCAGCCACTGAAAGAAAGAGCACAGCTAAAACTCATGTTAAAGCTTTTCAGATGAGTTTATGCTGCAGAAATCATACCCTTGATTTTTGCCACCATAGTAACATGCACAAATGCATTTCTCCTGCAGGTGGACAAGAATGTGTTCTGCCAGAATCAATGGTCAACCCTGTTCTAATTAATAAGAAAGTTAAAAGATCAAAGTCATATAGAGGAGATGTTCCTGTCAGAAAGGTTACACTGGACACAATCAACAGTGGCAACTCAGAAGACGACTTGCTATGGCGCATCCACCTGGGAACTCACTGCCTGGGGCAGGCCCCTGGACAAGGAGATTCCTGGGATCTTTCCCATGGCAACAGCACACCATGGAGTTTTGACAACCAGAGAATGATTTCAATGGGAAATGGCACACCACAGACCATGGAATCAGCAGGAGCAAGTGAACTGTCTCAGCTCAGGCAACTGGGAAGCTCAAGTGTGTTGAACGGTCTCAGCAAAGAGAACAGCTGCAACATTTCAAGCTCCTGCCAAAAGCCTACTCTGAAATCAGCCACTGCAGCACTTTGGGCACATCAGCAGATTTCTGCTATAAAATGCACACCAGCCTGTAACAAACTGAACTTTTACCCTTTCCCAAATAGGAAAGGGCCCAGAATTTCTGAAGCAGCAAGGAGGCTTGGTCTATATGTCTCACAATGAAGATGTTCAGTAATACCTAAAAGTTAGTCAGAAACTTGACTAAAACTTAAAATAGCAAAATAGTCTTTCTAGTTACACAGATCAACCTGCTGAGGATCTACTACTTTTATTAGCCACAGAAGATTCTGACTATATAATCCTCAATATCTTCATAATTGTCAACATATTATTTCATTATTCACTTTCAAGATATTCAAAACAATTTCTGATGTATTTTTTAAGTCAATTAATAAAATCTCTGCTCATTTCTATTGTTTTAATGAGACTTAGTAAATATAATTCCTTTCTGATACATAAATTATATCATAATGTATTTTTGGTTCCCATCTATTTTCACTGTTTCATTGGAAAACTAATGAGGTCTCCCCTTCTGCAAGATCTTTAGAGGGAGGAAATCTCTCTTGCAGGTGCTTTTAAATGACAAACAGGATCTACATGTCACCCACTTCTGGCTGCAAGTGTTCAGATAGGTCTCTTTTCCAAATGTAGGCTTCACAAAAATCAGAGATAGGAAATGTCTCCCCATTGCAAATGGGTAGCCATGGGACATATCATAGTAACTGGGTTTTTTCTTCACAGTTCAGTATTTAAAGAATAATTAGGAAGGAAAAAAAAAAAAGAAAAAAAACTATAAAGCATAGATATACCTAGTAGGTATAACAAGGAAAAATACTAGATAACAATTAGTCCATATGAAACAAGAAATTACCTGATAGGAAATACTTCAAAAACTTCATTATCCTTTGATTGATTTAGTTATCTTAATTAAACATGGACCTTGAAAACATTGGTTTTAAAGTCAGTGTAGGTCTATGCATGGACTAAGTAACTAACTCCTTTTTAAAATCTCATACAAACACTTTGTTCTTTCCTCAGGCTTCTCTAGCATATTACTGTACTTTGTACTGACTGGAACTAATTTAGTAAAGGCATTTTGCCTTTGGAGGATCTTTCAATTTAATTTCCAAGGACATTATGAAAGAGCATTTTCAGTAAGTTTTCATTTTTTAGTGGAGTAGTTTCAGTTATGAGAAAAGTTGCTACACTAAGATTTCATGAGACTGGAATATTGCACACACACAATTGTCTAATGAGAAAATTATAGGTTTTTTCCTAAAAAACTGCTAAAGCAGCTGTAGTGGGAATGAAACAGAAAAATAAGAAAAAAGCCTAAAGCTTTGAATACTAGAAAGTCCCACTTCTCAAGGGCACCTGATCTGCAAAACATTTCCTGTTAACTTCTTCATGTTTAGCCATCATGGGCAGGAGCTTTCATCACTGTTACCACAAATGTAGCCAAGTTTCAAGCACTGAACTCAAGACTGCCATAAAGCAAGTTTGCTCTGAATTTATCAGTAGGCAAGCCTGACTGATTTATGCACATGGGGGACCATGGAATCCTAAAATTCTAGTTCAGTGTCTTGTTCACAAGCCCATGATCCCTCTGAGGTTCCTATTTCCAAAGATGGAAACAGGACCCTCATGGTATTTTGCTTGACTTCCTAAGGAAAATGTTAGGACCTTCCTTCAGGTCCATCCATTCTAGAATAAATCACGCTTCTGAGCAATTATTTCAGTCACACATAAATAAAATAGAGTAAAATAGAATGAAATCCCATTGCTGCTGGGACAGCATGCTGCTGGTCATATGAAAGAATTAGCCCACATGAGTTGTAACTGGGGTTACCCATTAAAAGTTTATGTCTTTTACAGGCATCAAAAACATTCCAGGAACAAGCCCCAACCCCCTGAGGACCTCAAATACAAAACACAGTGTTGAGCAGCCCATGTTGAACAGCCAAATCCCTGAAGCCTCGTACCCTGCTCCCATTCCAGGACATTTTGGGGACTAGAAGTGACACTGGAGTACTGCCTCAGCCTGAGGTGGTTTTTAGCACCAGGTTTTTCTACACCCCTCATGTATTCTTCCAGCCCAGTCTCTGAACCCAGGTTAATTTCTGACAGCCCCACAACCAGGCAAGACCCTGCCCATCCCTGATGACGGGGAAATACAAACTCCTAAATCTCAAACTGCTAAATCTCAACCGCAACACTGCCTTCAAAAAATACAGAAAAAACCCCCAACCTGCACATTTCTGACTCATATGCACAGAGGTGACAGATGAGGGGTGGCTGCAGAGCACTCAGCCTCTCCTGTCCCTCAGGCAGCCTTGGGGATCCCCACGTCCCAGGAATGATCTATCAGATACTCTGGAGCCAGAAGCTCCTGATGTTGTCACAGAAATGGATTCATTAACTGGTGTGCAACAAGCCAATTATATACTTGAGAGACACATTATTTTTTTCTGAGTTGTAAAAACCTGGGTGCTGGTGGTCTCCCACAAATCAAGCACACCCACTATCAAAACATTTTACTACTTATACATTTTAGCAAACAAAGACATTATTGTTTATCTGCTACAAGTTAGGTAGTTCTTTTCTTAATTAGTATTCTATATTCTACTGGTTAATGATTCTCTTGCTTCTTATGCTAATAAGCACTTTCTCATCTTTTGAGTCTGTGGGTTTCTTGGGAAAGTATTTGTGACACATCCCTGCCAGAATTACCTTTTACCCAGTTGGAGCTGATTTCAACACAGTTATTGAGTTGGTTTTATTTGTTTCTTCCTTATCTTGGGAGTTCTGCCCAATGTCCTTGCAGCCTGTAAATTCTGCATTCTTTGTGTTCACTACCAGTAGTAGCTCCTTCTTCCCAAGCTGTTAACCTTCCCCAAGGTCTGAGATCATTGAAAGATTTTGAGCCCTAAACCTTAACGTGGCAATTCTAATAACAATTAATTTATTTTTCTAAATAGTAGACATCACTTAGAACTTGTAAGTTGCTGTTTCATGGGTTGTGTCTCACAGAACCACAGAATGAATGGGTCAGGTTGGAAGGGGCCACAGTGGTCATCTGGTCCAGTGTCCCAGCTCAAGAAGGGCGATCCCAGAGCACACGGCACAGGCTTGTGTCTGGATGGTTCTGGAATATCTCCAGTGAGGAAGACTCCACACCCTCTCTGTTCTAGTGCTTGATCACTGCTCAGGGAAGAAGCTTTTCCTGACATTCAGATGGAATTTCCTGTGCATCAGTTTCTGCCCGTTGGCTCTTGTGCTACTGCTGGGCACCACCAAGAAGAGCCTGGTCCATGCTCTTGGCACTCCTCTTTAGGCACTGACACACATGGATGGGGTAAACCTCCTCAGGGACAGGACATGGCCTCAAGCCATGCCAGGAGAGCTTCCACTGGATATCTGGAGGAATTTCTTCATGGAAAGGAAGATCAGACACTGGAACGGACAGCCCAGGGACATGGTGGAGTCACCGTCCCTGGAGATATTTAAGGAAAGACTGGACACGTTACTCAGTGCCATGGTCTGGTTGACTTGGTGGTGTTCCCTCATACGTCAGACTCGATGACCTCACGGCTCTTTTCCAGCCTAACTGACGCTGTGATTCTGTAATTCCTTTCTTTTTCACTAGGCTTGAAAGCACGCAGAGACCAAACCCCACACAACGCCCCGACCGAAACGAATTCTGACCCACGGCGCGTCGGGCAGCGGGCCCGGCCCCTCACAGCCAGGGCAGGGCGCGGACATGGCGGGCGGGGCGCGGCTTCACGCACGTCACGCCCGTCTCCCTGGGCCTTCCGGGCTGCCGTAGGAGCCGCTCCCGATCCTCTCCCTCAGGGACCGCGGGCCTCGCCTTCCTCCCTCCCGGGAAGCAGCTCAGGAAGCAGCTGCGTCGGCCCCCGAGCTTCCCCCGGCGGCGGCTGTGCCGAGCCCGCGGGGCGCAGGTGGGTGCCCGGGGCCGGGGCCGTGCTGACACCGCCGCGGTGACAGCGGGGGATGGCGGTGCCGGCGCTGCCCTGGCACGGGAGGCGCTGGATGTGTTCCTGGGGAGGGATGAGGATGCCCGGGCACCCCGGGCTCGCAGGGATGGGGCTGCCGTCCCTGTGGGTTTGCCCATGGCGCTGCTTCAGTGCTTCCCCTCCGTCAGCCGCGGAGAAATGTGTCAGAGCTGTGCTTGCCTCCTTTTTGGGGAAAATTGATGTGTCCTGCTTTGTTATCCAGCCATTCTGACAATCCCCTGTTCCTTCCATCAACAATTTACCTTTTGAACCTGGTTGCTGCATTTTATGTCACGCTTCTTAATTCTTCACTTGTTTTATTTCACGTATAAGGCAAACTGGCCTTAGAGGATGACATTTTATTTACAAACGCTGAGTCTTGCACTCAGAGGATTTCTGGGGAAATACCCCTGTTGTTTACTCAAATGAGTTTTGAGAAAGTCCCTTTAAACTCATACCGAAAGTGAAATTGCGTCAGGAACGCTTGTGGTGTTTTATGGCTCGTGGAAGAGGAAGTCACAAATGTTTTTGCTATGGATTCTAATGCAATTTAGTGATAGTGTGATGGAATTTATTATAAGTGTTAGAAATGTTACATATAAAATCATAGGTTTTGTGTTTCTTAAAGTAAAAGTTTACTTTTTAAATAGAGGGTTTGTAAGAATAATTGGAGACTACAGCGGTGTTTTCTGTTTTGAGACCTTAATTAGAAATCACAAACTTACCAAGCTATAATATTGATAAACAAATGAATGACCAGTTTATAAATGTCACCCTTATTTACAATTCTTACACTTAAGCATAGATTGCAGTTTTACATTTTATCTGGGTGACCCAAAACCAAGAGTAAGTTTTCTTGTAAATGTTGAGTAGAATTATGGCCATAAAATGGTTCTTCAGCATAACTTAAAAGTGGGAGAGTGATGGTTACAGTCTATTCATGAGAATTCCTGGTGTGTTTTGGGAAAGGGGGAAAGCTCCATTAATAGCTACAGTGCAGTGTTTTGAAAATTGAGTGGTTTTGTCTCTTTTAGCTTCGTAAATGCCATTGTTTGCCTTGGCTCTGAAATAATAGCAGCAGCATCCCAGCAGGAAAAAGAATGTGTGTTTGTCTCTGCTAGTTTTGACAGACACTGTGCAAATTACAGC